AGCAAGAAATGCTTTTTTTTTTTTATACAAAGGAATAATTTGTTAAAGGAAGCATTGGAAGAGCTTTAAATCTTTCACAAACATATCACCAGACATAAGTCTTATCACTCCCGATTCAGGGTCATGGCTGCATGGAATGCTATAAAAAGAAAAACGAAAATAAAATCAACTCCTCACCCAGGTCAAAACTCTCAGGGGTGCTAAGTGAAGGCCTGCAACTTAAAATGTTATAAACAAGCAAAATAAAAGATCTGTTAATGTTATGAGAAAAAAAACCTCCATGGAATGCAGCGGTGAATTTCCATGTTGTTTTTTTACACTGCTGTGCACTTACATGGTCTTGTGGAAAAATAATACTTGAAGCTCTTTTGATTACAGCTCAGGGGAGCTCTCTCACACACATTTGGCTAGGAGCACATACTGTCTCGTAAACCAGCATGAGTGGTTCATATAATGGAGCCATGTAGCCTCGAGAGAAGGGCAGGATTTGAACATCTGTGGCAGACTCACAGAGTCAGTCCTCTAGAGCCCCACAGCATGCCTCATTTGGCTTGTAGACGCTCTAAGGCCCACACTCCTTTGATTGGGTTGACACTCCCACACTCATTCATTCACTCTGTAGCTCAGGGAAGTTAACCTGAAGAACAGCATGGGCTGACTGTTGACAGAGATATCTTGGACTGTTCTTGGCTGTGTGTTTGTTTCTTCAGAGACAATTGACAAGGTGTTTTGATAGACAGATCCATATAATAGTCTCAGTGGAGATCACCAGGAAAACTGAGCTGAGACAGAGAAATCACCATGTGGAGGAGGGGAAGGCAGAACTCTGTTAAACTTCTATCAGATATGGATGGGAAGCCCCATAGGACAACCCTCTAGGGCGGACTTTCAGCCTTGGCCTGAACATCATCAGAGCGGCTTGCTCTTCTCCTACAGCCCATCTTGGTGTTTGATAGTGAGTTCCCTTCTTGTTCGGAGCCCAGCCTTCAGCTGTGATTTCTTTATACTTTGGTCTTAGAGTCCTTCTGTCTAGAGGAGCCATAAGCTAAGACAGCCATTCACAAGGACAGTGCTGACCAAGGGGAGGTTCGGTTTGGTGTGTTGAACAGAAGATACAACAGAACCAGACACAAGTTGTTACAGCATCAGTCATCAGTTTCAGACCCAGAGAAAAGTGGGATGTCCATAGGTGCTAAAAAGGAATCCGGGTGTGGCAGGAAGTCAATGTGTGTTGGAAGAGAGAATGTGAAGGGACCACACCTTCACTTAGGGCCATGGTCTATTTAAGGGCTTGTCCATAGAGGTTGTGGACTGACTCCTTCAAAGGAGTATGGAGTGAGGAGAACTTACTTCTGTGACTTTGGTTTGTCCTTTAGATCTGACTGATAGTTAATGAAGTGCATGCTTAGGGTCCATGAGTTGAGGATCAAGTGCATCATATTGGATTCATTCCTGGAGAGGGGAAGGTTTCACTAGGCCAGAGGTGATGTGGTATAATGAGGTTCCAAAATAAAGCAATGCCTGAAAGTGGATGATGGCAGAGTAACTATATTAACTGAACATGTGACCCTGTGATTGCCCATTAACTGGCCTCTCTACTCTGGGAAAAGCACCTAGCATGTCTCCTACCAGTGATAACCCTTCAAGATGAGGTGTCTGACTTGGTCTGTTCCCCCATCCAGCCTTTAGAGACACAGAGAAGAGTGGAAATATGAAAATACCCACTTCTTTCCTCCACCTTCCTTCGTTCTCGTCTTCCCTCCTTTTCTTTCTCACCTTTCCTCATCTCCCCCTTTCTTTTCCAACATTTCCTTTTTTCTAAGAATAACTTAAAGACATTCATAGTTTTAATAGTGAATTTACAAAAAAGTAGGATATTTTATTGTATAACCTCTGTTTAACAAAATCTAAAAATAAACGGTTGTGTAACTTTTCCTGGGGAGTTACAAATGTCTATTCTTCTCAGATAGGAAATGACAGACCAAAGCACTGGCTCTGTTGAAAGTCTATCTTGGGGGAACCGATTAATTTGGGGGCATTACTTACAGGATTTGAATAATGGGTCACTTATAAGGGCACAAGAATCTCAGGCAGCTGTGTCACCCAAACACTGGATCCCTGCATAGGTCACGACTCAACTCACAGACCTGCGTGGGTGGCACTTCCTGTCCCAGCCGGCAGGCAGTTGCTCTACTGAACAGTCTTTGCGCCACAACTGTTTACTGTTTATATAACTTTGGAGAAGGGCATCTTGTTGATTCAGTAGTTTTGTGAGCTTCCTGGGCCTCGAGAAGAGGCGTTCTCTGAACCTTGGAGAAGGTGATGTGGATGTCTGCTTGTTTTCTTCCACTTACGGAAGCGTTGAACTACTATGTCACAGTAACTGCCACTTATTCTCAGCAGCTTAACAGGTTATGAGTCTCTGAAGTAACCACGGCCTTTTGCAAAGAAAAGGGAAGCTTCTCCCCATAACTGAGGCTGACAGCAGCAGTGATCTATGGACATTTAGAAGGCAATTTGAAAGCTGGCTCCCTGGGTCTGACAGGCCCCAGGACAGCACCCGTCGCTTCTTTCTCAGCCACACCTGGCTGCTGAAAGGACCCAGCCTGAGAGAACAGCTTCCACATCCAGGATACCAGTGTGTAAGGTGAAATACATGACCTATGCCTCATGAAGATGACTTACATGTCTGATCTTTCAGAGCTCCTCTGACCTTAAATTCTGCCCTACTATGGGTCTTTCCAGAGCTGCTAAAGCTCCAAGCTAGTCTTGTGGTCCCTGATGAATTTTATATATATATTTAACTCTTCAGTGAACACAAACTTGTCTGACCCAGTGAACTGGGCATGAAAGAGAACCTGTCACCTGATTCCTTCAGTAATATGTGTCCATCCTCTCTTATCTCTCCATTTTTGATATTCATGAGGACTTCACTGAGTGACCATCAAACATCCCTATTGGGTTGTATGAGCCTGTCCATCAGGGACCTTTGCATCACCTCATATGAAGCCATTGTCTCGAGGCAGGATGAGCAGTTGCATTACTCAGCTTTTCTACTTGGACAGTACTCAGACTGACCTTGTCTGCCTCCATGTCTGTCAGCTTCACAAGCAAAGCAGTGAGGGACTCTCCCATTGCTTGCTTAAGATTCTTCCCCAATTCCAGAAGTTCAGAGATAGACTGTTCCCTGGTTATGACAGTTTCCATTATTAAAGCCCCCATCTTCATGCATAGTCAAGGATCCCCTTTCTCTGAATCAAAGGTTGGGCTGAATAAGTACCCTCCATCTCTTTGATCTCATTCTCTTTCTCTCTTGCTGTCTGATTCTTCCCATGGATTCCATGTTTTGGGATCCCAGGAAGAGCTCGTTAGCGAGATCTAATGTGTACTCTCTCTCCCTTGTGTCCCATCAGCTATAATAAACAGCAAGCAAACACCCCAGCCTCATCCGAGCCTTTTCTGCTTTTCATGCTGGTGCTGAGGAGAGTGTCTATGTGCCTTTCTCCCAGTGTAGCCCCTCCCCCACAAGGGCGAAGTTTTTCCCAGTCAGAAAATTCCACTTCAGTTATATGTCACTCACTGATGCTACCACAGCCCTTCTCTGAACCATTTCAGCATGAACTACTTTCAGGTATTAAAGGTGTCTTTTCTATCTCAGAAGTCATCTGGATGCATCTTGAAACCCATGTTAGACTCAAGATGAGCCACTTTGTGCCCCCTTGGAGGAAGACAGTCACCTCGTGATTTCCTCCAAGGGCACTCAGCCCTCAGATGACTTGGCATCAGTTGCATGTGTTGTCGATCCAAAGCAGAGACCACACAACATCCACAACAGCAAGGAGCCACACCATCCCATACTACATGGAGGGGAAGGCGCCACATGGGGACTGTCCCTGTGGATGCCCCCGTCTTCAGATATATGAGACTCAGCCGCATGTCTTACCGCCAAAAGCGGGAGCCATTCAACAGCTCCCCTCCACATTATCTATGGCTCTGTCAAGCAGTCTTTGGGTGGCAATTGTGTTATGTGATTTTCCCCGTGGAGACATGAATCAACATATATTCATCACAGAAAGGGCACTGACGGGACAGATCAAAGAAAAGATTCTACTTCAGTCTAGCTGACTGCAACCATGAGTTTACTGCGGTGACTTTGCAGGAGCATGGGTTAAAGGTTAGTTACAGGGACATGGGTGACTCAGACAGCTGTATTACCCAAGAGCCCACCCCAGTAGCATGAGCAATGACTCATGAGAATTACAGCTGTACCCCTCAGAACTTGCAGGCTGCTGCTCCGGAAAAGAGTCTCCTTGATCACTAGAGCTACTTCCTGCTTATATAACCTTGGAGAAAGGGTCATGGGGATCTTGTGAGTTGTCTTGTGAGCCTCCCTCCAGGAGGAAGAGGGACTGTTGCAGTCAGAAGGAAATAGCTACGTAACATAAAGATTGACACCATGCAACAAGGTGATCTACAAACCTCACTCAAATTTTAACCTGCGTGTCACTGATGCTTTTTCTAGCAAAATGATTTTTTTTTTTAACTTGGCCCATTATCTGAATTATAATTACCTATCGCTCTTAGGTGGCATGTATTTGTATCTCTTTCTGACCCCATTCCAAGTCTGTTTTTTGTCTTCTTCCTTTTATTATCTTGACATTTGTGAACAGCCTAGGTTACATGTCTTATAGCACTCACCTCACTGAGTTTGCTGACTTTCCCAAGGCTAAGATTAAGGTCATGTGTTCTGGCAGGAATACTATAGAAGTAATGCTGTGTTCTTCTCAGGCCATCATAACAAGGGGGCATGTTACAAGCCCACGTCCCATTATTAGAAAGGTTGATTTTGATCATGTGGTTAAAATAACACCTGCCAGTTTTATGTACCGAAAAGTTATTATTACCTTTATAAGTATTATGTGGGAGACACACTGTGGCATTCTCAGGCAACTGCGTCCTGGGGAGCTGTGATTGGCATGACCTTTTCCCTCTTTCTCCAGAGTCTAACAGCCGCAGGGCAGTGAACAGAGGCTATGTCACCAGCTTGCTCAGGCTACATCAGGATTGGCACAGCCACGATGTCACCGACACCTACGTGCTGATCCGCCACGGGCTCCTGCTCTGTCTCAGGCACGTTGTCACCCTCCGGTCCGGCAGGGAGGCCTTCCTGGCAGCCCATGGCATGGAGACTCTCTTCAGCATTGCACAGGTAGCCAGCATGGGGACTTCCTAAGGGAGTCAATGGTGATGCTTGAAGGCTGAAGCTTGGAAACTGTCCTGAACAGAGCAGGGAAAATGCAAACAACTTCAACATGATGCTTGTTTCGATATGGCAGGTGCTTTAAATTCAAATCCCTCTTCATTTACTCATTCATGTTTTCATTTAGTCATTCAATCAGTATGTGTTCATTCAATCACTGTGTGTTTATTAGTAGAGATGACAAATAGCATAGTTATTAGAGTATGGCCTCCACAATCACAGATCCCAGCATAAAGCTCTGAAACTTTGAAGCTAGCCTCTGCCTTTTCAAATAATCAATTTGCTTTCTTTTATTTATTTTTTTAAGAAACATATAGCTAGATGTGGTGTCCTATACCTTTAATCCCAGTATTTGGGTGGCAGAGACAGGTAGATCTCTTGAGTTCGAGGCCAGCCTGATCTACAGAGTGAGTTCCAGGACAGTCAGGGCTACACAGAGAAACCCTGTCCTGAAAAACAACAACAACAACAAAAGAAATAAAAGAAACACACACATCTACACTAAAAAAGTAGAATTAAAACATTTAAATTCTTTTGTACACTAAGTAAGTTCATGTGGTTCATGCATTCGGGCAAGTATATACTGTATTTTAATAGCTTATTTTCTTCTTTTGAGTGTGAGCAGTCATTGGACCAAATAGTACTTGGAATCTCTGGGGAATATGGCAAATGAGTCTTCTGACCTTATGGGGTTCACATCCTAGCAGGAGACAGGCATTAAATGAACAAAACATCCATTGAAAGGGTATTCGGCAGTGCTGGTGGCTAGCGCCGGATACTGTGGTGGCTGCGGTTTGGCTGGCAGCGGAAGAGAGCAGAGGAATTACAAGCCATGGTTACCAGAGTTAGAATAGGCTTTATTAGAGAGAAGAGAGGATAGGACAGGAAGAGAGAGAGAGAGAGAGAGAGAGAGA